AAATAATATTTGCTTTAAACCTGAATGAAATGAAACTTGCAATCAATTGATTATTTTTATTTTAAAACATGTTTCTACTCTACTCATAGCTTTTTAAACTGTGCAATATTTTCAATTAGGTATGTGTTCTGGGTAGACTGCTGTGAACCTCCTCACATCGGGCGTATAGGCATGGATGGCCGAGGGCAAATGGTTATCATTGACACTGAGATCTATAGTCCCACCGCTCTCACTATCGATTATACCAACAAGAGACTTTACTGGGCAGACGATAACCACATCCTGTTTGCCAACATGGATGGCACCCAGAGACGGAAAGGTGACACCACATTGTGTTCCACGATTCAACAATGTTCCGCTGGATATAAATACATGACATTTATCATGGAATTTTAACATAATAGTGTTAGCATGACATTTTTATGGCACTGACTTTGTACGAGTGCTGACTTTATTAGACCCAATGGGGAAATTAAGAATGACAATAATCCACACCTCAAATTCTCCTGACTATATTGAAGGAGGCATTTTTTTTACTGAATACAATGTTTTATTTCAGTGTCCTATGATCACATCCAAGGAGTAATGGCACTAACTTTGTTTGAGGACTTTGTGTATTGGACGGATGGGAAGTCCAAATCATTGAGACGTGCTCACAAGACCACCGGCGCCCAAGGGATTGAGCTCCTCAACTCCTGGCAGGCCATCAAATCAATCAAGGTCTACCACTCCCTCCGCCAACCTGAAGGTATGAAGTCTATCAGGCATTGGTGATTGTCATATCCTCCTAAACCAACCTGTACTTTGAGCCTCTTTTTTTTAATTTGAAGAAGAAAATTGTTTGTGTCATGCAGTTCTTTTTCTATTCCACCCAGTGCCCAAGCACCAGTGCCAGATTGCCAATGGTGGATGCAGCCACTTATGTCTTCTTTCCCCTGGTGGGGAACACAAATGTGCCTGTCCCACAAATTTTTACTTAGCTGCTGACAATAAAACCTGTCTCTCCAACTGCACTTCCAGTCAGGTCAGAGCCATTTTTCTTCCCTCCCACGTCTACACTTACTGTGATCATCTTGTTTGCTCCTCCGGTCTGATCACTACTGTTCCCCTGAAGGCAAATTGCTTTACTTTCATAGTCTGTTCTTTTCTGACATGAGGGGCGTAGAAAATGTTTGTGTATTGATTGCAACTCTAGCTTTGAAGAATGCTGAAGTTTAAGCAGACTGTCAAGCACAACTGATGACCCTTTTCCTTTCGTTTTCGTTTTCATTTGAACACAGTTCCGCTGTGGGACAGATGAGTGTATTCCTTTTTGGTGGAAGTGCGACACAGTCGATGACTGTGGGGATGGCTCAGACGAACCTTCYGATTGCCGTACGTGCCATATTATTTAACACTTGGCTTTGACTTGTAGTGTTTGTAAACTGTATCAACATTTAGTTTGGGAAGATTTTTTGGTAACGCTTTCTTTTACGGTACCCTTATTACCATGTAATTACAAGGTAATAAAAAAGGCAATTAAATGTAATTACTACCTTATTACCATGTAATTATGTGGYAATTAGGGTACAGTTTTACTATGTAATAAATTGTCTGCAGTAATATAGCACTTACCTGCTAATATGTTACAATTCACTATGTAACACCTAAATAARTAGTAGGTAATTTGGACAGTTTTAAAGTTATATTTTATTGCAATTAATCACTAACCCCAAAATGTAGTTGCATTCTTTAGGTTATAAATATAGTGTTGAGTTACTATTGAATAGTAATTTGATTGTAGTTACCCAATAAAAGTAGTTTCAATAACAGTAGTTTTTTTTTTCTTTTTGTACCATAATTACTGCGTGATTACATGGTAATAAGGTAGTAATTACAATTAATTACCATTTTTATTACCTTGTAAATACATGGGAATAAGGGTACCGTAAAAGAAAGCGTTACAGATTTTTTTTTTTTTTTGTTATACGTCTTTGTTTTTGTTTTTGTCTCAAGTTTTTATTACCATTGTTCTAATCCTTCACTGCATAATGTCTCCTTCTGAACAGCGGAATTCAAATGTCAGCCCGGGCGTTTTCAGTGTGGCACCGGTCTCTGTGCTCTTCCTCCCTTTATTTGTGATGGAGAGAATGACTGCGGTGACAACACAGATGAGGCCAACTGTGGTAAGGCGGTCATTAGGTTTCAATGATTTTGCTCATTGAAATTCTGCTTCAGGTTTGCACTTGGTTTTGAGTTAGATGGTGAAATGTCAGTTTTGCCCACCGGATATATTTAAGTTTGACAACAACTCAAATTATGTTCTACTTATAATGAACAATATTCCTAAACGTTTTTGATCATTTGTAGACGACAAATAATCCGCCATCCTGAAAAGAGTTTATCCATTAAATGAACTGATAATGAAGCATTTTATTTGCACATGTCTGACCAATACTCACGATTAAGCTTTATTTTGTTTCTGCCTGTTTTTTTTTTTTTTTTTTTTTTTTTTTACTTTCAGAGACGTACATTTGTCTGTCAGGCCAGTTCAAATGCACCAGGAAACAGAAATGCATTCCTCTTAACCTACGCTGCAATGGTCAGGATGACTGTGGCGATGGAGAGGATGAAACAGACTGCCGTAAGAACCTGCTTTTTTGTTGTCTTCAGCTGCTTTATTTTAGGGGCTATTTAGACATAGGAATGCATTTAGTAAAAATATAAAAGTTTGTTTTGTTTTTCTTTTCATTTTTTGTTTTAGCCATATTTGGTCTCACTCCCCCCGACTCATCCTTCTTCAATTTGTCCCACCATGCAAGCTTTGTACATATAAGCCATGTAAGAAATTGTTCAAATCAAATGTCTGAATAATATGCAGAATCTGAAGACTATCTCACTCAGCCTTTGTGTGGCCCTGGAGGTCTAAAATAAAATGACCCTGAGCTTATATGTCCTTAGACTATTCATAACCTGGTTACACCCCTAGGGTGCGGCCCCTCTTATGTCAGCATTGGTACTGTATGTTGGAAACATAAACAACTATTCTCACACTGCTGTATCGAGCCACATATTAACTAGAGATGTTGATTTTCTACAGTTTAAAATAATGACTAAAACCGATCACAAAGTATAAAACGTAAGGCTGTATCGTAAATTCGGTTAATAAATCACAGAATATCCTTCACCTACATACCTGTTTTTCCACTTAAAGGCCCAGCTGTGATGTTTTGTAATTTTCAGTGCTCCTGTGTGGATTAAAAACATTTCTAGAAAGTATGCCATATTTACCTATTTTTTAAATTGACATATAAGTAGGTTGCTTTGGGGAAAAAATGTTTCTGTGCGGACAAGGCCTTGAGTTTTTCAGATTTTGAAAAGTGCAATCAGTTTACAGGGAGAAGGACAAAAAAAATGTGTTTTTCCAGAAATAAATTCTAATGGACTAAGACAAAACATCTTAACTGTGCTTTTTTCAAAAGAGTCAATCCATGCCTGTGCTTGAACAGCATATAAAACTCCATTAGTATTACATGGGTCTCGTTAAGTATTCAGGATGCAACCCCTGTTATGGCCTGCTGCTGTGAAAAGGGATTGGAAATTGAATCACACAGAGGATAAGAACAGATTTTGTCTGCAGTGATGTAACTCGGTCAGAATATCACACCCCATTCAAGTGTTTCAGACTGCTGTATTTGTCTTCTATATGATTATAGAGGAGGTGAGAGTGAGGGAAGGAGGCTGCAGGAAATCAGGAGTGGAAAGAGAAAAAAAAAGAAAAGAAAAAAAAAACTTTAATTAAAGTGGAACTAATTACTTCAGCCGAACTTCCAGCATGATTGGATGTGGTTTTGAATGCACCTTTGTAATGAACACTGCACAGCTGAAATTAAAAATGCTATTTGAAACAATGTCAAGTTGTATGAAAGTGGCTGCTGCTACCTTGTTATAATATAACACTGGAAATGAGGGCAAAGGAGCTGTTTGAGAGGCATAATTTGCTTTCCCACTGGCTTTTTTGCACCACAGTAACTCTCTGTGATGACTCAGGTCTTTCTGCATATACAGATTTCATCCGGAATGATAAAATATATTACCCCTCTCCTCCACATACATTTGCATTTTTTTTTTCTGAATATAGCTGAAAGCACCTGCTCCCCTGACCAGTTCCAGTGTAAGGCCTCCATGCACTGTATCTCCAAACTCTGGGTTTGTGACGAGGATCCTGACTGCGCCGATGGGTCAGATGAGGCTAACTGTGGTGAGTTATGGGAATCTATTTTATCAGAAATAGCATATATATTATTGCATAAACACAAAATTAATTTGACTTAATGCTACACTTGGCTTCATTCTGGTGCAAAGTAATTCATTATTATTTTTATTTTTTATTTGCTTTCACTAACTCTTTTTTTTCTTTCTTTTTTAGTGGCTTTCACTAACTCTTAATATCTGAGTGCAAATTTAGTGAAGACCAAATGTTCTTCAGCCACACATAAAGCTGCAGGGTAGTGTAAAYACTATATTAGGTGTTTGTTTATTTAATATGCCTTTATTTAAAGTTAGATAAATGAAACTATTAACATATTAACATCAGTATTTTAAGACATCTCGTCATTTTTATTATATTTTTCTGACATTTAGCTATTTTTCCAATAGTTTTTCTTCTGCCCTTAATCTGATTGATC